TGCTTTTTAATCGAGAGGTCTTGCTTTCAAATCTCTGCCCCAAGGTCGGTAGATGGCGGTTTTTCGTGTTCTTACTCGCTCTCCGCATAAATGCCGGAGTAGTAACTAAAGTCACGCCTTGACCGCTTCTTTCGACGTCCCTCCTAATTCATTATTCACTATTTCTCCTACCATTTGACGCTATATATATATATATATATAGATGTGCTGCTGGCCTGTCTGTCCGCTCTTGAAATAGTGAAGCGTACTGACGCCGTTTAGTACAATGGAAGTTCGCCTATGTTTTCGTGGCACATTCTGCTTCCATCTTCAGGATCGAGGAGTAAGTCAAGTTCGAAGCCAACATCAGTTACTTTTATCTTTCTTCCTATTGGTTCTGAGTTCCTTCCCAGGAGTGTTTCTGAGCCACGTTCCATCCTTCGCGGTTCGCTTTGTTTTCTGTTAGCTTTTTGCTGCTTGTTTGCTTGGCTTACACTTTGACCCTAAACATGTAGGCTGTTCATTGCTCCAAAACGTCAGTGAACCTATACTGAATAATACGGCGTCACTTCTCAGAAGATAACACTATTTGATGTTTTCATGTGTTCCCCTCACTCTCTTCGGACAGATGTCGGAAGAGTGACACCGAATAGGCCACGACCACATCCTATCTAATTGGTTTTTCTGGCATGGCAACAGCTCAGGTGGTCAATCGCTGGCCTTCTGTTGTGGAGGCCCGGGTGAGATCCCAGATCAGATAATATGGGATTTGTGGTGAACAAAGTAATTACGTTGCTCCCAACAGTGCTCTGTACTCATCTGTGGCTGGTACACTGACCGGAGTACCATGTGGACTCAGTCTCACCCCACCCTCACAAATGAATTCATCGTTCCCTCAGCATCCTGCCTTTCGACGCAGTGTAGCCTGGGCTTGTGAAGGCGTCGTGAGGCATGTCTGTTGAAATGTTGCCTCCCTCCGTAGGTTAACATTTTCCATGGTAATGCATGCCAGCGTAAACAGGAGGGCTCGAGCCTTCTGTTTCCGCTCCAGCTTGTGTGACGGAATAAAGTAACGGGAACCACTGGGCGCAGTAATGTAATTCATATAGTACGAACAGACAGTCAGTTCAGCCTGCGTTTGAAATGTAATCACAAACACGTAGAAGTGTTGGGCGCAGTTTGAAGTACTCTGCCGTATGTCGTGTCACAAACATCTCACACAGAAGAGATGAAATCACGTCATATCAGCTACTGGTTATTAACACTTCAAAACACAAAATAAGAAGGGGGGGAGGAAATTTCCCGACTTTGAAGGTTCCTTATTGTCTTTATGGTAACGGCATGTAGCGGAGAAGGTAATGCGTTCGGAAATGAAGAGGTAAAGTGTCGGGAAGTGGACTTCGTTATGAACCGAGGAAAGAACTTCAGCGGGGTCTCCGCAGGTGATCGCAATTTTGGCGTTAGCGTTAGAAAGACTGAATTACTGTATTTTGTTTTATTTAATCTACAATGGTATTAGCGTTGGGAGGGCTGCACGTGAAAAATACAGGGTGTCAGTCAGCATTCCACACTGTATTACATCCTTCTAATGCAGCCCGGGGGGTGAAGGGGGTTGTAGTGAGAGACTACATTTTGGGGGTGAAGGTTCCCAAGTAGTTCCTACTCGTCCTACTGCCACGAAATTCAGTTCTTACGTCGCAGAAAACGCGTTTCCATTGCAAATAAAGGATAGTTAATATTGTTTGGGGACATAATCACTGTTCTTCATAATGATCGTATGTAACTTATAAGTTCACAGTTCTTTTATTTAAAGAAGGTGGTGCATATAGTGTGCATTATGCTTTAACTTGTTTCAAACGGACGAATGTGCCCCTGTACGGATGGCATGTGCTGTACAAGTGGAGTAGAGCTTGCTTTGACATCTGGCGCATCGCAAAATGAGCACGTGTAAAGGAAACTTGTTTCGTTCGATGCTTCCATTGAATAAAACCAAGCAGTAAGACGTTGAGTGAGGTTATGGTTACTCTGTACTTGTTTCGCGTCGTTTTATAATTTCGTGTACATTTTCTTGGCGCATTTCCAAATAAATATTTTGAGTTCGTGAAGCCAGTGAATGTATTTAAACGTGCATCAGAGGGTGTGGCTGTTCGAGCCTGAATACAAGTATGGCATTTGTCTCCGGAGCATAAAGCATTTCCTTTAAAAGGGAACAGAAGACAGGGAAAAATAGATTGATAAAGACGGAAACAACACATTAGAGGTAGAATGAAAGGAAGAGAAAGAACGAGGAAACAACAATATTGTCACGTATGGGTGACTTCAGACGCGGGTTGGACTGGCGAATCGATTTATTGGATATTCACCAGTCAAGAATATTGTAATTAAAACACAAAAATAAAGTCTTTTATGTCTGCTTTAGCTAGTCGTTGCTAGGTAGCGGTTCTAAACAATGGCTATTCCTTTGGAAGGTTTTCCCTATCCGTTTCCTGGCAACGGATTTTAACACAGGTACTATAACTGTCACACTCCAGATATCACTGCACTACAGCACACATAAAGTATTCAAATCACACGTGAAGTCCTCACTGGACGACTTCTGATTCTTATTGACTGCGAACTTCCCGTCGCTATGTCCTACCGGCACCTGACTCGAACTGCTCTGAACTAACGTGCTTCAAGTCAAAGTCACACTGCGACTGACGGTCAGTAAGTCTTGGTGTTGAGCACCATCTGGGGCTCATGACCACATATTTATTGCTGTTTGACAGTTACAATCTTGTTTTTATGGGGCACCCTTTCTGAGGAGAGGATGGGTCTGTCTTTTGTATATGCTGCTGGCCATTGCCAGCGCAGTCGTTCTCGGGTCTAAGTCCCTTGGGATTCGCGACCATATTTTACTGTCTCAGAGTTGAGACTTCCCTTTTCGTCGCCTCCTACGACTCGCAGGGTCACGGTGGAGGTATTCGACCCCTCCTCCACGCCAGTGTACTCACTCACTAACTTGCTTCAGAATTCACCTCCACGCCAGTGTACTCACTCACTTGCTTCAGAATTCACTTCTCTTATAAGTACTCTGCACAGACCCCACAGAAAACACAATCTGTATTGTTAATGATGTCATCGCGTTGAATTGCAAGGTCAAGTACTTGGAAATGTGTTTAATTTAATTCGCTTAGTGGGGGATGGAGTCCAGTTGGGTCCACTCGGCACGGCGGCCACTGATTCGCCTATTGTACCAGCTCCGGGTGATTATGATGATGGAGAATTTGGTGGAATGAAGATTGGCAGGTGAAACCCAAGTACTCGGAGAAAAGCTGCCCCAGCGCCACTTTGTCAACCACAAATCCCACTTGACCAGACCCGGGTTTGAACCCGGGCCGCCGAGGAGGGAAGCCAGCGACTAACCGCTTGAGCTTTGGCGCGGCCATTGGAAATGTGTTTCCCTAGCTGCTATCTAGAAACGGATTGCATAACCCCATTGTTCTTTTGTTGCGTGCGTGTATTACTTAGCAGCAGCTGTTTCGGTGGCTCAACAGTTCTTGCGTGGAGCAAATACGTACGGTGGCCATGACTGTTACAGCAATGTGCAAGCATTGTGGTAGGATTTTGGGATCTCATTTGACTCCTCATTTCCGATTCTTCCTTAATTACACGAGTAAACTTTAATTTGTTAATTTGATTGTTCCTCCTTTAAAGTTGTATATGAGGCACTGCTAAGCCTGTGGCTTGTGAGAAACCACATTCAGGTTAGCTCGCAAGGTATTAAATATGAGTAATTCTGTGAAGAAACAGGGCTTAATGCTCTGGCGTTTAGTGTTTAATATCAGTGGTTCCGAAACATTTTTATATGACGCCCCCCCAGTTCTTTTGTTGTAACAGACGTTACCTTTTGGACTCGTATTTGTGTTAGTGTTTATAGTCACCGACTCGTTATTAGTGCAGTGCCAAAACTGCAAGTATGGAATTCGAGTTCTAAAAATGCTAATGCTGCACCATGCTGTGAATAATATCGAAATATGTTGAAATCCAGTCGTTCTGCTTATGGAAGAGGTGCTTAAATGCATCTAAGAGATTATTTCGGCTTAATTTTACAACAAAAATTTCATTTCTGTCTCATGGCCTCAACTCCGCCCCATCAAAGGTTGCGCGGCCTCCACGTTGGAAGCCACTTTTATGTGCTCTGTTCTTTTGCCGTTATAAACCAGGAAGAAAAACGTGGAACACGCGACAGCAAAGATATGACAGCGGGCGGTCCGAGAAACAGCTGCCTTGTCCAGACTGTTCGTGTCGGAAACGTTCTCAGGACTGTCGACCGTTTCCTAAGAGTGAGAAATGTCTCACTAGATGACAGTTGTCTGCTTCCTTACTAAATACACAGGATTTGCTTATCTTACGGTTTGTTTCACAGTTCGTGACAAAGACATGCTCCTGGACGTTAGGCAGTTATTTTCTGAGACATTTTAGCTATGTGCTTTTTTATATCACTCTTTTGAACCGTATGTTGCATAAAATAATGAAATAGCCTAGTTAAATTAATCATAGAATGATCGGACTTCGATTCCCAATAGGGTTACGGGCTTGTTTTTCCACCGCTTTGTCCATACCGGCTCTGAGGCTCACTCGATTTTCTCTCCACTGGATACCAGGGGTGATTTCACTTGAAGCTCATCATTCACCTCTTTGTGATGCCAGGGGATTCAACTAATGGCCCTCTGGAAGCTCTCAGGGTGGTCTACTTAGGTTCGTAGGAAAATGGATACTTATGCTGTATCGATACAAACTTTTGTCTGTATCGCTTGCGACATTTTATTATGCGGTATTGATCGATTTATGTATCGAGATGACATTAATTGTGCTTATTTACATTTACAAAAATTGTGTGTTTTTTACAGTTTGTGTTTTATCGATTCACAAATCGACATATATCGACCTATATTTATTATCTGCACTCAGATTTAACAGAATAACCTGCCTAACATTTGTAATATATCGATATATATCGCATGTCGACCATAGCTGACCTGCGAAAGATGTTGCGGCCGCTTCCATGTTGCTATGTGCACAGTGGAGGCTCGCGGCATCTTGCTACTTGGAGTCACCGCTGGGTGTACTGTCACCTGCAACACAGGAAGAAACGCTATTGGCACCCCATGTGGCAGCTACAAGGAAAACAGAGCACCCGGATATCGGATTTTTACGTCTTCATATATGTAAAGAATGTCCATTTTGAAAACGATTTCATGTTCGAAGTGTTACTCAGATTAAGCGGTGCTGAGAATGCTGAAACTCTCTTGCATCCCTCATATGAAGTGATAAAGAATTAGAGAAAATTCCATATTGCGGACCTTCACTTTGTACTCTTCGGCTCTGTTGTTTGGAAGGATAAGACTGGTGAAGCATGTGACACGAATTGAGGAAGAAGTCTTAGAGATGGCGCGGGAGATCGAGGCGGAGGGTTCCGGAGTGTGAGGATGTGAACTTTTTTTTATTGCTAGTGGGGTCCCTTGTACTGCGGCCACTTATGGCCTATTGTACAGCACCAGATGATATGTGAGGCTGATTGTAGAGCAATTGGTGGAATGAAGACTGGCAGGGGAAACCGAAGTACTCGGAGAAAACCTGCCCCAGCGCCACTTTGTCCACCACAAATCCCACTTGACCAGACCCGGGAGAGGTTGTGAACTAGATCCTGCCTGCTGACGCTTGAGAACATCGTACCGAACATCCGGGTTCCATAAGGGACGACTGTAAGATTGTCCAGACTGACTGTGCTCCGTTGAGTTCACGTACACGTGTCCACTCTCGTGTCCCCTTCCGCCACTGTGGGGCCAGCCCAACTGCAATAATTCAGCGCGATATGGATGGCTACAGCTTTCAATTTCCTGCATCTCGCAATATTGGATTTGTCCACACCAGTGGATCGTCGGGGAGAGCAAAAAGTCTGATTGTTCTGCAGCTTGCTGTACCAGCTCCGTATGAAATCCTATTAAGTTAGCTTCTAGAATATGGCGCCGTGTAGTTTGGTAGCTAAGGTACCGGCGTTTCTAATGGACCTTCCGCCTGCGTAACCACGAGTTCCTGACTCTCCTCCTACCGCCCCTCAATTTGTAATTATTTTACCTCGTTTTTGTTTTGTCTTGCCGAACGGGTTGGTCTAGCGGCAACACTCAAGACTTTTATTCGGAAAATGCTCGGTTCGAATGCCGGCCGAGGCAGCAGGTAGTCTGAGGATTTTTTAGTTTTCCTCAGTCCCTCCAGGCAGTTCCCGGCCACGATCGCTATTTAGCGATCATCAATCACCTTGTCATCGAGCACGATGTGGCCAAACACTGGCAGGGTCATGAAATAAGTCGAAATTCCAGCTTCATTTGTATCATAAGCTTGTCCCCCAGTGTACCGTGCCAGTAAGGCAGGAGTTTAAGTAGTGCGGCCCGCGGCGATTCTCATTTACTGTAATAATACTGTTTTTTTTAATTGTTAGTGGGGTGAGACTAAGTCCCTTGTACTGCGGCCACTTCTGGCTTATTGTGCCAGCCCCAGATGATAGGTGAGGGTGATTGTGGAGTAATTGGTGGAATGAAGTTGGCAGGGGAAACCGAAGTACTCGGAGAAAACCTGCCCCAGCGCCACTTTGTCCACCACAAATCCCACTTGACCAGACCCGGGATCGAACCCGGGCCGCCGCGGTGGGAAGCCAGCGACTAACCGCTTGAGCTATGTTATTTACAGGTTTGTACTCATTCGTGCATAGCATAGAAAGCATTGTGTAATCTGAAATAGATAGTTTGGCCCTCTCCAATATGTCTTGGGAGTCCACAGTACAAGAATTTGTTGTTTCCATTCTTATATATTGATAAGCTCGAAATTCGATTTGATGCTTACATGACAACTTCTCGTAATTTACGGCTGTTTTCTCGCAAGGTCGATTTAAAGCAATTGTACACCCCTGGTGTAAGGACAGTTCAAAGAACTGCTGACAGATTTTGCTGCCTCGCCCAGTCACTCTCTGGAGCCATGCAGCCTACTGTTCGATGAGGATTACAGGCTGCATGTGTGGGGAAAAAGCGACTGGAGCGCGAAGCTGGCACCGCCAACGAATATTGAAGTTGTGAATGTACAATGATTTACCTCCATGTCCCTCCATACACTCACATAGTGTTATGCTATACAAGGGAACGGCAGGCGCAGACTGTGAATGTCTGCACGCCAGTAATGAGTAAGTTATGTGAAATGCCAGACACTGCTTCGCAGCGCCAGTTGTGGGTATGTGCGATAAGTGGGTTCATTGGGTCAGTGTCGGCTCGGGGCACCAACTTTCTTATCTGCTTCGAGCCAAGTAACGCTGCCACCGCCTCTCAATCGATCTTGGTGTCGAGCCGTTTTTGGGGTTCGTTGCCAGATTTTTGTTTCAGTTGCTTAGACACTTGCAGTGTCTTTCGTCATAGGGTGGCCTCTCCGACGAGAGGATGTGTCTGCCCTTTGTCTAGTCTATGTCTGAGTCATTGTTACTGCGCAGCTTCGTATTTCTATTTGCGCATGAGTACCTAAGCTGAACCCTTCTTGAGAAGCCGGCAGTTGTGCAGCTACTCAAGAACTTCCCAGCATTTTATGGAACCCGAATGTTCATTACCTGGTTCACAAGAGCCCTTCACTAATCCCTATCCATAGCCAGATCAATCCATTCCATACCACCCCATCCTGCCCCTCTAAGTAAGTAAAGTTGTCCCTGTGCTTGACTAAGCACTATGCCATGAAGACGTATGGGGGAGTGGATGTATAGATCCACGTTTTCTTGACCTCGGCAGTGTCTGGAGGTGAGTGGTCAGTTTCACGTCCCAGCCATTCTGCTCCCTGATAAACAGCCCCGGTACCCATTAGATCGGAGGCTGGGTGGGCTCCAGAGCCGGTCTGGACGACGTGAAGAAAATTCTTGACCATACCGAGACTCGAACCCCGACCCCTCGGTCGTCCAGCCCATAGCCAGTTGCCATACCGACTGCTCTATCTCGGCTCACCCATCATGTCCTATCTCTCTAAGGTCCATTTTAATATCCATCCACCTATGTCTTGGTCTTCCTAGTGGTTTCTTTCGTTCTGGCCTTCCCACGAATATCCTATATGTATTCCTCTTCTCCCCCATTTATAATACACGCCCTGCCCATCTCATCCTCTTTGACTTCTTCATTCTATTAATACCTATATGGTCTCTGGCAGTGCAGGCTTTGTGCAGCACACACAGGGATACTCAGAAGCGCTGCTGACAGTGTACAGCTTGGTTGCATCGCGCTACTCGTTCAGCTGGTCAACAAATTCCGTATTGTCATGCTAACCGACGCGACGCGACGCGTCTTCTCGTTCCCTCAGTGCGCGGCTGCTGTCAGCCCAGTTTGTGTTGGAGTTGTATGGTGGGCTGCGTTCAATCTGTGACCCTGTCCATGTCGAGACGATGTAACACCGAAAGGTAGGATGGCTGATGAATTGAAAAAGGATTTGAAAGGAAGCAGTTACAGCCTAATCGAGATGTTGTCCCGGAATTTGCCTAGAGGGGCCGAGGAAAACCGATTAGGATCAGCCAGTGTAGCCGGTAGCCCTGCCAAGATTCGAACCGAGCAACTCCCGAATGCATGTCTAGAGCATTATTACTAGATCAACCTGCTCGGTACTTATATTCGTGCGCACTGCGGGATCCGCCGTGAAGTTTGGTAGACATTTACCTACGTTTGTGAGGAACGTAATGCCTCTGTCTTCGGGGTGAAAATGTAAGCAACCCGTCAGTAATTTTATACACGTCACATCCAAGAAGACAATACTCTGCAGAGGGCGCCTTCCCCCGTTCCTCACACTGCTGCACGCAGAGCTGCCTCGCATTGGCCGTCACTCACTTCCCTGTCTTTCATACACATCTTTAGAACGTGTACAGTCTCACTTTCATTTCTTCTTTCTCTGCTCGTTTTTCTTTCCATCTGTATATCTCTTCTTCCTTTCTTCCTTCCGCTCTGTTTTCTATTTATTCCTTCGTCCCGTGTCGTTTATATACATATTATGCTCATTTTCTCTTCTCTCAGGGGCTATGCCCCCCCTCCCCCCCCCCAAGGTAGAATTTGCTCTTGTTTTGAAATTCATTTTGCAGCAGGAGTCAGTGTCTCCCTGTGGTCCATACAGTCGATCGGTTCTATAGGCAAATTAAAAACTGGAAATTACTTAAATTTTAAATGACTTAAAGGGACCGTCTTACAGTGTATACACTTCTTCACCTTATTCTTCACTTCCACACTACATGTTTCAGCACTAATGTGTCATCTTCAGGTACAACGCAGAACAACGCATGCAGTAACAGGAGCAAAACACAACTCAGAACACGATACACAAATATATGGAGGAAGAATGCTCACGTAAAAGAGGATTGGCGTAATTCGCGTGTTTGAGTGCGGCGTAGGAAGAATCCTGAAAAGTTTTATTATTTAGAATTCATCGACCTATATGACGAATACAGATTTTAGTCATTTTAGAATGAAGACATTATGGCATGCAGTACAGTAGTTTAACGTGCATAAAGACACCTGAAGATGGCACATTAGTGCTGAAATATGTAGCGTGGAAGTGAAGAATAAGGTGAAAAAGTGTATACACTGTAAGATGGTCAGCATAAACCATGGACATGAATCAGTGTAACAGGACGCTAAAATATAACAACCTTAAAGGGACTCCTGGCGATAAGAACAAGGGCGTCTCAGTTTATCCGCCCAGCGGAAGAATACGAAATTAATGCGAGAAAATAAAGTATATTTCAGTTCTACGTTACAAGTATATGATTAACATTAAACTTTAAGAGGATTTGCATACATTATCATAAGTTTTGCTGCCGGTACATAAGTGAATGGAGTCGTTCCTAGCTTTCCAATTCGCCCCCCCCCGCGCTGGAATACTAATTAAGACCCTTAGCTATAAACTTGTACGAAACTCAAGAGGCGCTGCATTCTATACCAAGAGCCCGCGCATCGAATTCCGATGCTCGCTGTCATCAGTTTATTTTCTGTAGTTCCCCTCGCTCGGAAAAGTTTGGACGGCAAAGTTGTTGAAAGTACGAGAGGCAGGCCAGATGTGGCTCGTGAACATT